AATTCATAATACAAAATTCATAATACAAAGTCTTGACCCTGATCTACCAAATAGGCCTCTATTAAGGCCTATCTAACGATGATGTTCGAGTTTTACCCTCTCAATCTCAAGCAGCTTTAAAGTTCCTGAATGAAATAAAAATCAGCAAAACTTAAAAATATCGAGCTGTAACCTTGATCTTGAATATAGGATCTAACTGGTAAACAATAAAGACTTCTAGTGAAGTTGTATAAATATGCCAAGAATCACTTTGATCTCAAATGGCTTTAAACACATACAGCATGAGACAAAGCTTAAAATATTGAACCAAGGTCTTGAACTTGATCCGATTTCCAATGAGGTATATAGATCACACCATCTACAGACCTGCCAACCCTGACGAGTTTGTCTCAGTAAAGCAGTTGATTTTTCTCCATAAGATTGACCAGTTTTCAGTAAGGTGTAACAAATTATCAATAACTGTTATTGTAATACTCGGAAAACATAAATAAAAGTTTGATGCAACAACGATAAACATTATGTTCAACTGAAAAAGATGAAAATTATTTATTTACCACTAGTACAGTTGCACAAACTTCAGTCCCAAACCCTATGCAACTTATTGCCATCTCTCAACTTGATGTAATTCTTGGAAATTATTTTCCATTTCACATGATGACGGCAATCATATCTCCCACCATAAGACATATTCAAATTGGCATGTATGTCCAACAAATGTAACTGTGTCCTTTCCAGATTTTATTTGCAAGAATCTGAATACCTCTTTATATTCTTCTGTGCTGATTATTAACATTTTTAGAAACTTATTTTCCCTTTTTGTCTTAAACATGCACTGCTTTCTGGATGTCATTTTTTTTTTAAAAAAAAATATAATCAACAGTTTGGTCATGCAGATGCTTTGCGTGAACAAATAGGTTCAGTTTAAAGCATCTGGGGTTCAAAGTTAGTCTGGTTCCCTAACTAATTTTACTAATTCTAACATTCTGATTTTTTCCCCAAAAATTTTTGCTTGTATGCCTAAGTCCATATTTTAAGGGTATTTTTCATAAGACTTATGACAAAATTATATGAGTTGGAAGATTTGCATTTCATGATGATGTACAAATACTTTATTTTTTTATCCATTAATCTCAATAACGGCTTTAAAGTTACTGAGTGAAAACAATAGTTTAATGGATCTGCATAAACATGGATGACTGTTCTACATTGTTTGCAATTCAGCGTGGACTTACCACCCACAATTTCGTTTTGAGTGATATCTTTCCCCTTTCATCAAACATCCAGCCATGGTAAGTCAACAACAGTTTGAGGGTGTATTTAAGCAGCTGGATGATGGAAAACCACAGAATCGTCGAGTAGATGATACAGCTTGCGTATGTTGCAAGGTTTTCGGAGAAGACTTTACTCAACCTGTATAGAAGATCATCAAATATGTGAGATTTTGTTCAAAAGCAGCTTCATGTTTTAAAATACATTTTATTCATTTGTTTGTAATTGCTTAACATAGCAAAACACCAAGGTTTGTTCCCAACCCTATCAGATGGCTAAATAAGAAATTATAATCAATAAGTCACTGAATGACTCCCAGTGAAAACCTGTTACTAAAATTTATTTTTAGGATGCCAACACATGTGAATAAACAGAATCTGAATAAAAACACTGCTTTGTTTTACTAGAGTATCAGGATGAAGTAAAACTATTGCAGGGTGAATTTTATGCTAAAGTTCATCTGCAAAAAGACAGTGCTTATCAATACAAGAGACAATGTCATACAGTAATGAATACTTAAACATGTAAGGTCTTGCCTTTGTAATCTGACCCAACTTTTGGTCTTGAACAGAATCAATAATATATTTATTTGTGTCCTAATGCAAAAAGAACATTACCAGATATGACATCACATGGTCCAACATGCCTAGGTATGCTATTGAGAACAACTTGGATATTATGTAATGGTAGATCAGAGTCAATGCTCTCACAGTTCGGTGTATGTTATACAAAGTAAAATACAGTGCTCTCACTAAATGATCCCTCATTATAGCACTGTCCCTTTCATAACAAGGGTATAGTCATGAATATTACTATATATGATGTAGTGTAATGTACCCTATTACTGAAGTCAGTGGTTCAACAGTTAGTAAAATAGACTAGTAACCTTATGGGTGCATGGCATGTTTAAAGGGGCTTTGGTTACAGTGGTGTATCCATGGGCAAGATACTTTACTCCAATCACATCTTTGTGTTGCTGTGCAGTAAAATGTTAATCCTTGCCCATTATAAAGCTACTTCACAGCTATAACTTGGTACACTTTCATGACATCATTACAGCATGGAATTACTGTTCTAGGTACAACAATCAGTATAAGGCAACATCAACTTTAACACTGTACTTTTACAGCTCCCTTGAGCAGTATTATAGCATCTGATCACTGTACTCTGTATAATATACACCAGTTTAAGGCACCCTATTTTTATGGTTTGTTTGAGCAGTATTGAGGGATCACAGTACTATATATGATCTACCCAAAGTATAAGGCTATGACATATAACATTATACAAAAGTATGCATCCCTTGAAATCATTTTTGGAACTGATTACTGTATAACTTGATTAATAATATCACACAATTTTTCAAAACTGTAATCAGTTATGATATATTGTCCCTAAATGGCTTAAGAGACATTCCACTGATAGACTTAAAGGAGCACGCAACATCACAAAAAAAAAAAAAAACAAATTTAAGGAAGATACAAAGTAGATGTTTGCTTCAAAAGCGAACTTTCTAACTGGACAATTTAATGACAGACCACTTCATAATTTCTGAGCTATGCTTACTAAGCTTTTATAAAAGTAATTTTACAGTGCAAAAAGACAGTGCTTATCAATACGAGACAATATCATACATTAATTAATACTTAAACAAGTAAGGTCCTGTAGAATCAAAATGAAATTTAAATTTTGAAATGATTTTTGATAAAAACCAACAAATATGAACTCCTCGAAAATTGCCATACAAATATTATCTTTCATTTCGTCAAAACATAAAATGAAATTGGATTTCTCCATTTTTTTCTGCGGTTATTTTATGATATCTTGGTAACTTGGGCTTAAACAACAGATACAATGTATTCAACTGTAAGAAAAGCCTTCTGGGTTTTTCTAAACAGTTTATTCACCAAAGTGATAAATTTATGAAATACAAACTTTGGAAAAAAGCAAGACTTTTTACTGTATTGCAGATTTCCAAATGCAGTAACCTGCCCAATAACTGACCTACTGTTTTTTTTTATGCAATGAAAACTTATTGTATGTTGACCTGTCCTCACATTGGACTTACATTGGAGTATAGGTCTCTATTCCATCAATGATCCCAAATGAGGGGTCTACTCCTCCAAGCCGCAGGGCCAGCACCATAGTTGCCACAAACAAGAGGCTAATTGGGGATGCAGGATATGCACCGTTTTTAAACTTGTTCTGAAAGTAAACAACCAACCTTTCCACAGATATGTATATCAGCATGCAACAAAAGGATATAACAAAAATCCAGCATAAATTACTGACCAAGAAGAAATAGCTAAACCAAAAAAAATTGTCTAAAAATACCTAAAAGTCTAGCTATTATATTAGAAACATTTGTCACTTTATATTTTGATATATTTTGTGTGAACACTGTTGTATTATTAAGTTTTTAATTTCTTGCTGCAGTGCTATGATTTGGTTCCATTATTTATCTAAATATAACCAACTTAATTGTAAAACTGTCATTAAAGTCTTCCTAAAATGTAACAATTGTAACATATTGCATTTATAAATTTATCTTGAATCCAAAAATGTACCTAACATGTATATGCATGCAACAAGTATTTTCAGGTATTTATCACTCATTATTCACTCAATTTGAATTACTATTTTAAAACATTTATCATAATAAGACTATTTTTTCATTCATTATTTTTTTTCCTTTTATGTCACTGGTCAAAGAAAGTTTATTTGAACACCCTGGATAGCTCCAACTTTTTAAAAAAACAAATGTAGTTCATGAAGAAACAATATACCTTTGCTCGGCCAAGTCGTTTTTTCCAAGATCGGACACCACTTTGCCATACTGCCTTGAGAGCTTCGTGGTTGAGATTAACATCTACACCCTCATGTGTCACTGTAAATGAGAAGGCCACTGCTGAATGGGCTTCTGCCATTCTTGCTTTGACTTGGCAGTACCTGAAGCTCAGATGGAATGCGCTCTAAAGATGTCAAGACAACAATCAAATCACTCTACAACATTACCAGCTTGCACCTGAAAAATTCAAGAAAACTTAATCATCCAAACATTGTTATCATGCTTAAACTCACCCAAATAAAAGTTGTATTCTGTTAATATTCATATTTGTGGCTAATTAATTCCTTTGTCTGCACTTCCACTTATCCAAACATTTTCCTTTACAAGTTTGGATAAATGAAGTTCTATGTATATAGTTGTCCGTCATAATGACTCTCATGAATGGACAGCTCTGTTGTGAATTTTTGTGTACCATATTTATATACCTCAGTCATACAAGTTGGTATGATGCAACCTTACCTATAATGCTATAGACTTTAATGGCTCCAACTCATTACATTAAGTGCTTTAACAATTAATGGCAAATCTAAATCATTGATACGAGTCAATTACTAAGCTATTTGCAATACTGTGCAATGCAGAGTCTGAAAATGAATGTTTCATTACTGGTTTTAATGGCACTTTCAGTACATCTGGGCTATACCTTGTGAGGAAATGGGAACAAAGTGCCTTTTCGATGGAGACACCAGTTAGACATAGGTTAGCCTGGGTGGATATTGAACCCATGACCTTTGGATTTCAAGTCCGACACCCCACCAACTGACTTAATTCTCAGTTGCTCAGTATGGAGGTTAGCCTGAGTGGATATTGAACCCATGACCTTCGGATTTCAAGTCTGACACCCCACCAACTGACTTAATTCTCAGTTGCTCAGTATGGAGGTTAGCCTGAGTGGATATTGAACCCATGACCTTCGGATTTCAAGTCTGACACCCCACCAACTGACTTAATTCTCAGTTGCTCAGTATGGACATCAGAAATTCCTGATCATTAAAGTACAGAACTGGAAATAATACAAACTTTAGAAATATAGCTAAATGAAGACCACATTGATAAATCAGTTGATTTATCAATCTGAATATATAAATATAATCGTAAAGAACATATGCTGGTACAATTCTAAATTATTGACATTTTATTTTATATTTCACTGGAATCAGATGCCAAAATCGTGTCCAAATATTTCACTTCCTCAGTCTTTTGTTAGTACAATTAGATTTTAAACAATCAATATAAATTTAAGAGTAGTAAATCTTCAGGCAGTTAGCATGTTCTTCAATGTAGAGTTGGTTGATGGCTAGATTGTTTGCTAATATCAATGATGACTGTACAAAACATATCAAACAAATGTGAATACAAATGTTCCAGTTATACTATGATGATGTTTTCATTAACACAAATTTTCTAGTAAATGCATAACAGTACACAACAATAGCTTATAGTATCTAATGAACAAATTTACACATAAACTGTGTTTTGATTAATAGCTTAAAAAAAATGACCTTTCTCTGCAGCTAAAGAAGAGACTCGATATGTACTAGGTAACAGTACCCTCTGAACCTCAATATGATAGGTTGTAACTTTCTGAAAAATTACTTTCTTCTTTAATTCTCATCATTTTGTCAGGAAGTCATCATATCACAGTTGACATATGCATCATGACTTCTAATTCAAAGATCACAAAATTGATACCTGCCCAAGCCAGCATGGATCAACCGCTATGGTATGTCATCAGAAAATACACCTAACTTCCATGATATAGCAATGTTGGAGAGACAATGCATATGTGTGTGTGTGAATTGGATTTTAATATAGCTTTAAAATTTTGTTTAGTCATATCACTATGATGTCTGCAGAGTGGCAGTTTTTGGTGATATCTAGGACTGGGCCATGATGCCACAGACAGGAAGCATCATGTCCCATACAGTTGCATTATCCTGACACTAGGCTGACAAGTCATAATACTAACCTCTTAATGCCTTCAGGTGTCTTTGGGATATGTACTTAGCATTTCCTCTGCATAATACAGCTAACTGTGTTTTAAAAGTGCCCTTAAAACCCTACAAAGAAAATACAAAACAAACTACTGTGCAGTAGTTCTGCAATGTTCTTTCCTTCTTTACTGTTTCTTTGTCATGAACTGGAAGAATGTATTCCCATGATGTCTTCCTTTAACATGTTCATGAAGTACTGTTTCATATGATATAAATTTCTGCATTTCCTGTAACAGGCAGGAAAACAAATTTTATGCCATAGGTTATTTTTCTTAATGTCCAATATGTTCTTGATTTAGTTTCAAAAGTGAAACAAAAGAACTTGTGCAGACATCTGTGCAAGCACTCTCATGTATACAATAAGATTTGTTTTAAACATTGTGTTAACAATGATGGGACAAAGATTGTCCCTTCTTTTCTTTAGTGAAATTCTACTTAATAACAAAATTAACTGATTGTACTTGTGGTAGCTGATGTGTAATTACAAAGATGTTATCCTGCAGGAAATAATTCCAAGGCAGTTTTTCCCTAGAGCTTATCTAACCAAATTTTCTGATCACAAAGATTTTCCATAGTGCCTATAATCACTTAAAATACATGGCACCTGCCATTTATGTGAAACATGGCTGCAAGGAATTGCAATTGTTCTTAGCACCAGGATACCAACACCTAACTTAGTTATAAAACTTTTATTTCCATAATTCACCAGTATCCAGCCCTTGGCAGATTAATTCCACAGGAAGGATCAACCAGATGAATTGCATAACACTAAATAACAGCCCACAAATCCTTCAACAAGGGGGTACTAAGTCTTTTAACCAAAAAAAAACCTGAATGGTTCAATTTCCTGGGTAAAAAAAGGGTTGTGTTTACAGCAAAGAAAACATACATAATCTCCTGCCTAAAGACATAGTTAACATCAATTTAGGGTAAAGGGACTACCAAACTGAAAGGATAAATGTTGCCTTTATTAACAACCTCCAACATAAACCACATTAATTCCAGGTAAAGGTGACTTCATAAAGAACTAGCACTGACTTATCAGCTGTTGTCTGCTCCATAAATACTACTACTACTACTACTACTACTACTACTACTACTAATATTAATGGTTTAACAGCAGGTCAGGCTATAGAGGGTACCAGTGGAAAAGCTAATTTAACAGGAGTCATGTGAAAAAGTGTCTGCTCTGTTAAATGGCTTCAGGTTCAAAAGGGATTCTAAGAATAAGTCCCATAGCTAAAATGGACTAGGGCTTAAAAGTCCTGGTTCAAAAAGGACCACTTCTGTATGCATCAATAATTACTTTTATTTTCATGTATACTAATAAACAAATAATACATAAATATCACATTTTTATCCTAAAATACCTATGAACACTGAAAAGGAAACCAAACACTGAAAGACTAAAACAATTACCTATGTATTTAATGGATATGATGTTTGTTAAGCAACAGTATGAATCTTGAAGGTCAAAGGTTAAGATGCAAAAAACTCCCCCCATATTTTTGAGTGATGGATTGCAAGTCCAAACATACAGGTTATTTTAAAGCATGCAAATGCAAGAAGAACCAGAACCAGTAGAAGTTGAATAATGAAATCCTCAATAACTTTTTATTCAGGAAAGTATGAAAAGAAAAAAAGATTCATGCAAACCAATGAACAAATTCCAATGTTTCAGTACAAGCCACTTTTCAAAAGTGAGGAAAATCTATAAAAGATTTCATTGATTCTGATGATAGCATACAGTAGATGAGAAAATCTATTCTCATAAGTGATGAAAAAAAAACCAATCTGAAACATAACATTGAAGTCATGGACAATAAGGGAATTTTCTAAGCAAGTGTTATAGAACCATCAACAAAGGAAGGCAAACAAAGAGAATTATCACAAACAGTGTTGGTGGTAAAGAGCAGAAATAAAATTGAGAGTGGAATCCTATTACAAAAGAGACAAACAATTTCTCACTTGTGATCCATAGCTTATTTTCTTATCTGCAGTTACAAGTAGCAAATAAGTCACAAAGTAAAAGATATGTTCCAAATATTTGATACAAATCTCTCTCCCTTGCACATGCACACACAGAACAGATGCTGATCATTGTGTTGACATATTCAGCTGCATTATTTAAAACAGATTCAAATGAATATGTGTTATGTTTTCCCTACTTACTAGAATCAGATTTCCTGTTGAGTACAATTTTGTAACTAAAGAATGTCCATGGAGATACTGATTTCAAACTGATATCTGAAGTGTACCAATAATCACCTGGGGTAGCCCAGTCAGTCAAAAGTATTTCAATAATTGCAACAAAAACCACTAAAAAATTAGGACATATTTAGCTCTGAGACCATAGGCATGGGAAAGAGTTCTGATTGCAGAGAAATGAAAAAAAAAAAACAATAGGTTTATTTTTAGTTTCTTTACTTTTTTAGAAACATTGTCTCTCAATAAAATCAAAATTTAAAAATTTAATTTAACTAATAAATTATAATTCAATAAATAAATATGCATACCTTAGGATAAAAAAATTGGGGAGATTGAATCTGAATTAAATGCCATCCTCACAAGATACATATAGCACTCACAACAATTTAGCATACTACATATAGCAAACACAAGACATAGGAGACTCCTGGCAAAAGTCACAAATGAAAACTAGGTGAAGGAATCCGAGAAAATAATTGAAATTTTATCTGAGGAATACACCTATAGAAACACTAGTGAACAAGAAATACCACATCAAAATTTAAAATAATTAAAAATTTTGATTATAAATCCTATTATAAAAGAATACATTACAACACACCTTTGGGGAAACAAAAACACATGAAATACTTTTCAGGTTTTTTTTTTTACTAAGTAGGGGATGGGGCATCTGTGTCTGGTGCCCCCTCCCAAAAAAAGAGAAATGACAAAGGTAAAGGCTATTCAAATGAACATGCAGATGTAACTGCTCATGGGTGAATGGATGCCTTTAAAAAAGTGTCAAAAATATTTTGTAAAAGAACTTGCTAAAATACAATCTTTATAAAAGTATTAAAGCAATGTCCTTTGACACAGCTACATTAAATTAACTACACCAAAAGTTCTAAGCCAAAAAAGGCATGTCACTGACACACGCTGTCTATTATATGCAGATTGTCTATTAAACAAAATTAAAACTGCTACTGCTACTACTACTACTACTACTACTACTACTAATAATAATAATAATAATAATAATAATAATAATAATAATAATAATAATAATACGAGGAAAAATATATTGTGCATTATTGTCCATTAGTTATATGTCAATTGGAACTTTTTGGGCTGAACAAATCACTAATAATAAAGAACCACTATTTACAAGCAAAATGGCTGACTTTCCACCATAAAATAAATGCAAATATTGATGTTACAATAAAATGTCTTAAGTAATGTTTATGAAGTCACAATTAGTACATGCTAACATTACAGTATCCACGTTCATGTATAATTTACATCACGAAAGTTTGCATGTTAGAGAACATGCAAACCCGGGTGTACACATACCGGTACCGGTACGCAAATTTCCCACTGATCAATTTGTCTGAAATCAAGTAATTTAAAATCAAGATTTTGGGCTTAAAGTGTCTCGATATATTCATAAAAATGCAATAAAAACTAACAACACTACTTCAAATATTTCAAGAAAATATGTTACTGCGTGCCCTGTCCTATAATTTTCTCACTACCATAATTAATGTATTGTTATTGGAACTGGTTTGTTCACAGCAGGAAAAAAACTCAAACAATGTTAATTAAAGCTGCTAAATCGTTTTTAATTTTAATTATGAAAAAATATATAGTTATATACTCCCGCAAAGTTTTCAAATTTTATAAAACTGATAAACCGTCAAGACTTGTACTTACGCATACAGACTGGAACGGAAAGTGATCATCCAATTTTCATACAAATTTAGGATCAATAATTAAATACTCTT